CACTGCGATTGTATGATGTGACTGTAGCAGACAGCACTATCTTTCATAAAGCTCTAGTGAATCTGATTCAATTAAAGTCTCATAAGTCTTCAAGCTTAAAGACAGATGAATGTCCAAAAGCCAAATACCTAAGCTGCTCTTACCTCAAGTGACCTGTGGTTAATTAGCAATCTAAGTGGATGGCTTAACTAAATTTTGTGTATGTTTGGGAAGGAGAGTGGTAGAAGATTAGTATTAAATATATTTAACAATAAATATGGCCAGCATTAAATATAAACTGGTTTAAAAAGACAGGTGCAGGCAGTAGTCAGAGAAGTTTTATCAGTGGTACTTTTTCTCTCTTGACTCTGCTTTCCTGGCTGTCAGAATTTCAGATGTGAAGTTCACAGGTGTTTTTTGAGTAACTTTAACACAACCCATTTATGCCAAGATTCAAACCATTCTTGCTGAGCAGACTTTGGCCTTTAACTATTTTTCTATTGTTTCTCCACATATTTATCTCCCAAATTATCCACCCTAATTATTTCATCTTGGGTCTCTTAGGTGCAGAATTAGGCCCAGAGAGAAAAGATAAACTGAATAGAAATCTTTATGCTTGCTTGGAGTCAAAAAAAAGCACATCCGACATCACGACACAATTATCCTTAACTCATTCATTGACTTCTGGCAGCCTCTACCCTGTCACCCACATGTATAATTAAGGCTTGAATCACCACTCAGGGAAGCTAATGGCATCATTCCCAGAGACCACAATAGCCTTCAAATCTAGCCGGTCTGTGGATCTATCTAATTCTGATGCAGTTCTCATCCTGCTCCATATAAACCAAGCTCATTACAAGTGCATGTTACTATGGCATCTACTGTTCATCAGCTTCTGCTTTTAAATAAGTTTTTAAACCTCCTTTCCCTTTAGTGTGCCCCTCAGAATCATTCAGATACCTGGAATCAAGGAAGGGTATAGTGATGGAGCTACTTTCCCCTTGTGAATCTCTGCCTCATGACTATTTTTCAAGCTGGGTAACCATTCGCAGTACAATCCAAACAGGAGTCAAACGTGGTCTTTTTTCAAGCATATGTGTGTGTGTAGGAAAATTTATTTACTACTTCAGCTGTTCCTGAAAGGTAGGGGTAGCTGGTATTTTGAATTAAGCATGTTAAATCTAGGAATGCTGTAAAATGGCATGAAGTTTCATGCAGCTGATGTCTTTTTAATCTTCAAAGCTGATAGATAGCCCTAATCTGAATAATCATTCTTTTCAAATCTTTAACTGCACCTGGTATCTCTGTCTGAGCTTGTTCAGGTCACTGCTTATGAGGTGAGCACACATTTCTAGGAAACACCCAGTAATCTGAATTTGCTTGAACACCTTTTAAAACTATCCAGCAATTTCAAGCCATTCCTCTTTCCTCCTTCCGTGCCCCCATCCCTCTCAGCACTGTTTCAACACATGCACGTAAAACAGAAAAAAGAAAATCATAAAAGCTCACCCCTACATTTCATCTGAATAAAATCCAGCTGGTGAATCGACTGCAGTAAAGGTTCGCTATCCAGAGTCAAGTCAAACTCAGCAGACACTTTTGGCTCCAAGGCTCCCTTGACCCACTGTTCCTGAGATACCTGAACACGCTTGATTAAAGCATCCGAAATCTGAAAAAGAGTATCAGGTTTATAATGAAATGGCAGATGCACACTTAAAAGTGACAGAATGCCTGTGAGACACAGGACAAAGAAAGCAGGAATACGACAGCACAACAGCTGAGATGGGATCTGGTCGGTTTAGGGTGAGATTCATTTATGTTGCATCCTTTCATCTCACCTTTTCAAAATAAATTTCGTCTCAGGGTAGGAAAGTAAAAATCGCATTTATAAAGCCTGTTAACGTTATGTTAAGGTTAATGCCACATATACATCTGCACTCTGTTGTCTGATCTGCACTGTCTAGTTTTGCTCTCCTATTTAAAAAGCAGTTGCACAAAGAGAGGTTTAAATGATAGAGGCTCTCTCTCCATTCAGCAGAGATGATTCAGTGGATGAAAGCTGAAAGGAACTAAAAAATCAAATACGAAGGAAGTTGTATATTTCTCACAGTGAGGGTCCTAAGTTGTCAGAGTTTCGAAGAATATGATGGATTTTCTGTCATTACATCCAAACTGAATTTCATTTTTAAGACTTTGTTCTAGCTTGGCTCACAGACAATTAGGCCAAAAGTCAGACTAAGACGATTGCAACAGACTCTTCTGGAAGTGAAATCCTGCCTCTACGGAAATCAATGAGCTCAGCTGTCCTTGAGTTCCGTGAAGCTGCCATTTGGATATCTGGAGTCCCTCCCAGTGAGCTTCCTGTAAGTCACAGGGAGCAGGATTTTCTTCTGAACAGGTCAGAGAGAGTTTTTCTTTATTGCAGGAGTTCAGATACCTTTACTCATTACTGTTACTGAAAGACACTCCTGTCTGAGTCCCTGCATCAACAGCTCCTAATCAGTCTCTCCAGTAAGTGGAGGAGTATCTCATAGCCTTCCTACAACCTTGGAGTCACTTACTGGGATACTGGATCCCTTGGCTGTATTTCAATGTCCTGACTGCAGGAGTCGTTGCTCTAAGTAATGCAGTGCCGCAGTGTTTGCTGGTGGCCTTGAAAGCGTCATTAGATAAACCAGGAAAAGGTAAAAACAGAAGCATTTTTTTAATAAAAGGTGACTGCAAAGAATAAAGCCACAAAGGTTACAGGAAAAGTAAGCTGAAATGAAAATGAAGGATGTACCTTGCTAGCATGTAGGTAAGACCTAAAGGTTTCATTTGTCCTGCAGTATCCAACCGACAGCCTCCTGAAATCTGTATAGTCTTGAGATTAATATACATCACACATTCCCCACTCTTGCTTGAGACCAGACGTGACAGCAACAATCAATCTGGAGTGCTAATAGGTTTAAGTTGGCTATTCTCATCCTGGTTTTAGGGATGCTGTGACAGCCCCCTGACACTCATGTGCAGCATGCCCTGTTCAGCTGACAACCACATGCAGATCATTTTGTTTGATGTGCCTTTCTTCTTGGGCAATTAATAAACCACAAAACTAATAGGGCAAAATAAAATAATTAATAAAAATAATAGAATTCATTAGGCAAAATAATTAATTGGATGATAAACTGTTACGGTTTAGCTCATCAATAGACACTTTCACTGCTTGCTCCTAAGAAACAATATCCTGCAAATTAAGGCAATTATTGGCTAGGCCATATTTTGCAAAGAGGTGGGGTACCTGGATCCTCCAGCTACAACCCCAGTGAAGCAAAGTTACAGGCAAGCCCTTGAGGCTGGATTTCCTCACGGGGAAGATACTGAAAGGACTCATTCATATGGGAAACAGTAATGCAAAGGGGAGAAGCAAAAGGGGGAGAGATACCACTCTGCTGAGTCCAAGACCTTTCCAAATTGATCAGAGAGCTCTGTGAGGCCCTGCGTTGGGTTTCTCAGATGAGAATAAAATAATATTCTGCAGAAAGTTATCATTAACTGCATAGCATCTCTCTTGTGGCCCAGAAGGAAGGGCTAGCAAGGGGAAAGTCACCAGCCCTCAGGGAAATGGTGTGACAGATAACTCCACACCTCGGTCAGAGTGCAGCTGTTCAAAGCCACCCCTTCGCTGGGACATCCATGCAGTCACCAGGCTATCTGAGCTTCTAGACAGTACTAACAGAAGTTAAGGTGAACCTGCCTCAGAGATGGAAGAGACGATTAGCAAAGCTGTCCATTTTTAGATTTAACTTTAATGTCTTTTCATTTTTTTCCCCAGAACATCAGAAGGAAAAATACCTGTAAAAACCCAGAGGGATCATTTTCTTTGATAACTTCTAGGCAGTACTCCATAAGCCCCGTTGACTGGCGTAGCTTCAGTGTACAATGATTTATCTGGTCCCAAACAACCTGGAAGACAAGCATCAGTTCAGTTCTGATGACTGCCTCAGCTTACAGTGAATTGTATAAGATTATTTCAGAAGAGACAACGAATAGAAGAGTGTGTTAAAGCTATGCTTAATTTAGCTGCCATATGGCCATTGCTATATCTCCATCAGCTACACTCACTTGCTCTGTACTGTAAATACCGATAATTAGCTTGGCAAAATGTTGTGCACAGGGAATCTCAATTTTCAGAGCAGATTAATTGCTCAAAGATCAGGCTTGCTTGGAGCAGAAAAAGCATAGAACATGTGCAGTACTCACATTTACAATCACACTTTCATTAAAATCTGCAGTACTCACACTTTCACTAAAATCTGAGCTTTTAAAAAAACCTTCACTTAAAAGGCAAATATTATATAGGATAACTGTAGTAGTGGTTTCTTGCAGATTATACTGTACCATTCTCTTCACCATTGATCCTGCTCTGCTTAAGAACACACTGCTGGGATTAAGAAATAAAAAAGCTGCATCTTGTTTTTCGAGATTTTGGACTCATTTCTGCTCCCCATGGCTATAGACCAGGCCTAACAGCACTGTGTTAGACAGCACAACTCTTCAGGTGCAACAGCCTAACAGGAATAAACCACAGGATTATCTCTGCTGCTAGCAGTATGTCCTAAGTGTTGGTTCTTGTTAAGCAAGGGGGTTTTTAAATGCTGATCTCAAGTAGATTTTATTCATTGTTTGTCATGTTGAATATTTCACTTCATTTTTTCCTTCTGTCTTAGATACTATTAGTGTTTCTGGCACTATAATACCTCAAAATCACCTATGCAGTTCAACATTTCAAGAAATGTGTTTATTTAAACATTTCTTGACTGCCACTTTGTTCAAACATTTATAGCTTTCTTCTCTCCACTCCCTTTACTGCATTTCTTTAATATCTTTTGAGTGGCACATGGATTTCTGGAGGTAGCTTGCCTGATTTTCAAAGGTTTGAAGACCCACCAAAAGCCAAATATTTCACTTGGGCAGAAGGTCCCAGAATCCAAACCACAGAGAGGCTTCACTGACAAGTACCTCTCAAAAGACAGCACCAAACCATCAGATAAAGAAGACTGATGGCCTGATTCAACAAACTGCTGAAGTATACACTCATTTTAAGTGTATAAGCACAATTCCACTAAACTGCTGAACTGGAACCTGCTACAGGACTTTAGGATTTGGTCACCAGCAATTTTCATGGTGTAAAGGGCTGAGGACTTGACAAAATGCACACTAACATCAGATATCAGCATCCGTACTCAGTTGATGAGAGTTGAGCTCACCTTCAGCTTGTGCTCACGTTCTTTGGTCACCTTTGTGAGCAGTTTTGCCTTCTGCCGCGTTAACGCATCAACCAAGGCATCACACTGAGCGACAAGACAGGCTTCATAATCCAACCCATTCTCCTAGAAGAAGATGAGAGTCATACTCATCAAAGAAAGCATACTTTAGAGCTTAAGCTATTGCTTATTCTTAACTGCTTTTCTATTCAGAAAAGATTTCCTTTCGAGACCTCGTCATTTCTGTTGCCTCTCTGATTTCATTATAGCTGTACCGCATGCTATAAAACAAAACAGTACGATGCTACACCACAAATGTGCTTATTTAAAACCTTGATTTACTGGCACTTTCCAGACAACAGATGTACTACGACATAATATAAAAGCTAAATGTAACATACACAGTGCATACATATACCGAGATGATTCTGCCCCATTCTGTTTTAATTATCCCACTGTAGCAACTTCAAAATCAGTGGCTCTACACCATGGCAATTAGAACAGAATTGTGGACCAGAATCTGCTCTACAGGCTTATTACAAGGATTATAATCAGGTACAAAGCCTGAGATTTGTGTATTGCTTCAAATATATATTTTTTTTTTTTTTTTTTAAAATAGCTAGCACTTGGCATTGAAGGTATGTATTTGATTAGCTTTAAAAAAAACCAAAAAACTGGCAATTTTTTATTCACATTGTGGTAAAACTTTCTGCTAGACAGAGGCCAGCACCCGAGCCTTAAGTAGGGCCTGGGTATCACTTAGCGTTACATAAACCCCTGCCCTATCAATGAGGAACAAACCATGCTACCACAGAACCCCAGGCAGCTGGAGAAATCTGAGTAGATGGTACTATAAGGTACTGACCTGCCCCCCCTCCTGGGGATGCCTTTCTCTGGCTGTGGAAGCAATGCTTTAGCACCCATTCAAAGGGAGGCCCTCCCTTGCTTCCTCTGCTCATGAGACTAGAGGAAGGAGAAAACTTTCAAGCTCCTTTTCTGAGGAGATGTTCAGTTGTCCTATCAGCTTTCCCCCCAAATACCCAAATGAAAAAAAAAAGAAGAAGCATTAAATGTGGGAAGATTTTAAACACGTGCTGAAGGAGAAGCATCTCTGTGGTAAGCCATCACATGCGCCTAAATCATTACGAGCTCTTAGCTCTTTTGTTTATGTTTTTCTCTTCTTTCCTGTTCATTTACTTTGTCTTCTTTCCTTTGTGAGCAAAACTTCGAGCACCGTATTCCCTTCCCTCACTGCGATCCCTGCATCTCATTCTCCAGCTGAGGGATACAGGGCCACTCTTCCCTGAGAGGCCCCCGCCACAGTCCTAGACCTGCTAGCAAGATGGGTGGGGAGAGAGACATCAGACAGCTCAGTTACTGTTCACAGGTTTGTCTTAGACTCTTCCTGTTTGCATCTCTCCCTCCTCGGCTTGTATCACACCCAACTCCCCCTTAAGCCCATTTCCACCCAGCTGCTCTTGAAGTGCTGGTTTGTGTACAGAGCCTGAATCAGTCGATGGCTGTAATGCATCATTTCTCTCCTCATTTTCTGTTCACACATCAAACAGGGTGTTTGGCGATACGCCTCTTTCAAGTGAGAAAGGATGAAATTGTTACAGCAGATGGGAAAATGTGAAAATCAGATAATGACAGCAACAAGGAGGAGCAAGGAAGCAACAGGGGCAACGAGGAACAGGCAGTTTCTGAAAAGAAGATACCAAGAGATTTAAAAGTGACCTAAGAAAGGAGAAGGGAAGGAAAAAAGAGGAGGAAACAACAGATCTGCAAAGCAGGGGAAAGTAGATTATGAATTTGCAAACTGCCCCAGGCAAGATAAAAGCACAGCTCCTGTAGCTCTGACAAATTCAAGAGAGGAGATAAAGAATGCGGATGGCTGCCTGGTCTGCTGTGCATTGAGACACCGTAATAAAATGTACACACTGCTCGCTGCTTTGTGTATACATTTTAAAGACATTTTTGCTGCGGGGTAAATGTCTGTATGTTTGTGTGGCAACCATCATAAGACTTCTACTAGAAATAATCTGCTCTGAGATACATGGTTCTGGGAACAAACCTACGCATGAAGGGTACATCTATTCCCCCCCCAATAATAGTCCAAGAAGTGGTCTTTTGGTCCAGATGCAAAAAGGCACAGATCAGCTAAGAACACATCTAAACCCTTTCCCCTCAAATAGAGTGGCTGTACCAAACCTGCCTAGCAGGGGTATTCCCTGGTATGTACTATCATCAAATGCTGCTTGACCATCACCTGGGAAGAGTGCAATTTGTCATGGGAGAAAACCACGCCAGGGAGCTCATTAAGGGTTAAAGTGTGGGGGTGATCATCCCAGAGCTGTGCCTTAGCCTTGTTCTACTTAGCAATACATATGCAGCTGATTACTCCTGCTCGTTTGGTTTGCTGAAATTTCATGTCCTCGCTCAGACTCGGGATGGAGACTGCCTCAACACATGAGAGTCAGATTCAGCTTTGTGCCCAGACATGCCTAAATGTTAGAGAGTGACTGCTGGATACAGTTTCCTCTTCTGAGTTCTCCTCTAGCATTTTAAGCAATAAGCAGCATCCAATAAATGGCTTGGTGTTTTGATCTAATTGTAGCAGCTCCCTTATGCAGAGCAATTTGGCAGTGATTTTATTGAAACACATTAAAGGATTTTACAGCATAGTCATAAATAGTTGTAATAGGCCACCTTTAGGTTTCAGGAGGGAAAAATACATTTTAATGGATCTAAGTGACTCAAGAAAAGATTAGTGATAAACTACTGTTTTGGATGAGTTTTCCCATTCCTAAGATAGCTGTTCATACCTAGAGGAAGAACTGCTCTCTTGAGGGACCTGTCCTTCTCCTTGGACAATGAGATAAGCCTAAAGGACTAGGTTAGATGAGCTACGTAACTTTTAAATACGCAAAGTCAGCAGAGAGAAACCTCACACTGTGTCCAAAACATGGCATTGACAGGTAGGTGCCAGTTGGTGGCTTCACAGTGGTTTCTTTCAGTTAGATGTGCCTTTTTTTTAACAGTTTCTCAGTCTTGGTTTGTTCCCCACACGGTCCCAGAAGACTGTGAGGGTGGGTAGCTAAGCTGCCCTGTGGTGACCTGAGAGTTTCGGCAGCGTTTGTGGTACAAACTCATCATCTGCAGTGTCGAGTGAAATATTTTAACTATTAAATTCTAAAGCAAAACAGAGTTTTTAACTTCTGCTTTGTCTTTCTGTTACTAACAGGCACAGGACTTGCTTGTTGATGGAAGATGAGCAAGCAGCATATCGTAGAGCAGATGATGTATATCCCACAGAAAACGCACCACCGCAGAGCACTGCTGCTGCAATAACAAGTGTCCCCTCCTGGGCACTGTGCAGCTCAAACTACGGCAGCCCATTTCCAGTCCTACTCTGCAGGGTGAGAAAGGCCTTGAGGATCATCTGACCTCCTGTACCAACCAGTCTAAATTTCGTTGAAAACCGGACTTGTTTCGTTTTGGGTTTGTGCCCTCAATTAGTGCACTCACCATAAGCCCTTTTCTGACTATTAAACCTGGGAAATTATAGGCAGGAGAATATCTTCTGCTTCATTAAATGACCACATTGATTTAGCAACGTTTGTTTCTTTCTTTTTTTTTGACTTCCTACAAATACTCTAATAAACAGGTTGACCGGATTTTGTCCAGAAACGAGTGTATTTTTAGAAAATGTAAGATGAAAAACAAGTAGTGTATTTGTTAAAATGAGAACTTATCCTAAATGCCCAATTCAAGCAATTGCAGTCAGGAAGGAGCCCAGAAGCATGACCAATGGATTCAATCAAACACTAATCAACACAGCTCAGATGTCCAGTATTGAGTATCAGCTCCTTGCAATAAACAGCAAACAATCTAGAAGCTAAGAGAGGCTTGCAGACATTATTTGATGGATAATTTTGCCTAGCAAATCCGTTCAAGAAATGGTAGAGGAGTCCAGGAAAGATAAGAATAGCACAGGAGACAAAGTCATCAAATACATTATTCACTCAGTTCTATTGATTACTGTATTATCAAAACAGCTAATATTCTACAGTTACCTGGATCTGCTGCAATAAATTTTTCAGCTGAACCAAAAATTCTTTAGCTTCCTTTGCTTTATCTGAAACACCATTTAAAGCCTGAGACAGCTGTGCCTGCAAGGAAAAAAAAGGAGGAAAAAAAAAAAAGGAAAAATTAGAGATAAAATGCAAATGTGTTTCTTCCTAATCCTTGGTTTTGATGATTAATAATGTGCTAAAAGGCTTACTTGCTGTCCCATATATTCTTACACACATAGAGTGTTTCTGCTAGAAAATAATAGTTAATATTTTAATTGTAATAAGATTTAATAAAGGTGCAATATGCATATGGGGGCAGTCAAGTATTGTGTCTGCACATTCCACTTTATTGCAGCGACTTGGTAAGTCAAAATACCATTTTATAAGACAGCTACCCCCACATATAAGGAGATAATAGTCTTGCACTTACACAGTAGCATCTGTCATGCTGAAAAATCCCCAAGTGCTTTCCAAAATGGCACCTTTTTTTCATCAAATCCTGAATTCTTTACAAATGTGGTAGATCCCACCAAACCTGAGATACACTAGGACTTCAAAAACAAATCTGCATTTTCAGACCTCATAGTAATGTCCCTTTGGGGCTTCAGTTTGGCATGCTCCTACCCCACAAAAGAGTGAATAATTCTGGAAAAGCTGGAAAAAACACTTCCTCTAACTTTTGACTGGTGAGACATATGGAGCATGTCTTTTGTAAGCCCACACTGAAGACCTAACTTCCTCTTTCCTCGGCTGGCACCTGAGATCTCTAAACTGAACCAGAGGCTTCCCGGTGGACTTCTAGGATGGGAAGAAAACAGCAGTTCTGCCCCCAGCAGACCCAGAATCATCATGGTCTGACCGGAGCAGCCCCGGCGCTCCTTGAAGCTTCTCTTGAAGCCTGGCTGGGATTACAGAAGCTGGATTGCTCTGCTTGTCAGCTCAGGGCAAACCCAGACCCAGCATTACTTCTCTGTGCAGACACAATGCAGAATGACCAGATAGGTCCCATTGTGAGTGTCCTGCAGGTTAGATCCACTCTTTGTAGGTCTATCCCTCAGGCAGACTTGGCAACTACGAGACTGAAAATGCCCAGTTAATTATCCTCACCAAACGGATATGACAACTGACATCAGAAAATGGAAGGTGAAGTATGTTTGCTAACGTCAGGCTTTCAGAAGGTTGCCATCTCTTGTTTCCTTAGGACTAGAGCGTGGCTTGAGACAGAGCCTTGTATGTAGGAAGGCACAAAGGTTATGAGCCTCTAAGAGGAGACCTAATTGAAATTCAGTAAGTCACCACTCATTCTCTGCTTCCCTCTTGCTCCTGGAGGGAAGTAAATTACTCGATTCCTGAAAAGGGCACAGCTCTCTTCTTCAGGCTGCCAAAGTTTTGAGCTTACCTCCAGCCTGAAGGTCTCCTACTCACCCTCCCCTCCTGCTTGCTCATTTACACAGGATAGCAAAGAGCAGACCCTGGCAGCTCCGTGAGGGAAGCCCAGCCCCGAGGCAGGCAGCCTCACACAGGCAGAGGCACTGCCTAACCCCACACGGCTCTGCCTGAAGTGGGTCCAAACCCTGACTGGGAGCTGGGACTGAATTATAGAGGAAGAAGCCATCCTAGTTTTTTTCCTCATATTCACACAACCCTTCTTCCTTTTAGCCTTGTTGTAGGTATTACATTAGTGTTAAATGTGAAAATAAAATCTGCCTTACTACAACTCATTTGTAACAAATGTAACGGGAAGACACATTACTGCGTAAGTTTCTCAATATTTGAATATTTAGTATTCTCTTACACAAACTCGTGTCACAGCACAAAAATTTAAAGCAATGATGTTTGATATGAATGCTACTTGAGGTCACAGAAGCAAACTCCAGGTCCTTGAAAGGGTCCCTATTTTCTGCCAGATCAGGTCAGCCAGGACTTCAGCTCTCCACAGGCTGATCACAGTTGCCAGAGTTTAAAGCTCACCCTTTTTGATTGCACTTTCTGTTCTATCCACAAGACACATCTGAGCATTTGGTTTGTCAAGTGGACATGGGACAAAGTGGAAGCAGCATATGGCCAAGCGGCTGGGGAGGAAGTGAGAAGGAAATTGGTGGCAAAAGCATGATATGTTCTGCCGTTGACTGGCCCAATCAAATTGTCCCAGGGAGGCAAGGGCTCCTTTCTTTCACACCAAAACCAATGGTTGGTCCTGAAAAAAGTAAAATTTCCACTTTTCCAACATCTGCCCTAGTGCTCAAGTCATCTCAAAGTGCATTTCGCCAGATAGGAAGAGCCAAAAGCTGTATGCGGGTATCGCAGCAGCCGTAGAAAACTGAATCACCGCAGACAAACTGTAACCAGCATATGTATGGATGGCAATTAGCACAGTCACTCCTGGCTCCCAGCGTGCTCCCATTGCAAAGAGCTGCAATAGAAACTCAACAATGTCACTGCTCAAAGGGCTCATAAGCAAATTGCTGTGTTCATTAAAACCTGTGGTTGCATTAACACAACTGCAGCATGAAGACGAGAAGACCAGATCTCCATTTCTGAAACCCACTTAGAGGTAATAGCCTTGTTTTTCCAAGCATTTGTAAAAGATACCTTACAAAGCAGAAGAATTTAGTCATGCACTTCCCATTAAAATCAAATGGAGCTACGTGACTAAGCCCTCAGTAAACCAACCAAGCCATAAAAAATGCCCTGTACACTCAGAGCAATCTTTGGTGCTGCAGAAATAATTACTGGAAGGCAAACTGAAATGTTAAAAGCTCCATTGACTGTGACAATTAATAACTCCTGACAAACAGCATTCTACCTGGCATTATCTTTACTTAATACCTGGTCTTGCAACCAATAATGTGGAGGCTGGAGATGGATACCAAGTTTCTACTTCTATTAAATACAGGAACAGAGAGATAACAAGGGTGAGTAATTAAACCCAGATGGGCATGGAAGTCTGATGCTTCCTTTGATTTTAGAAAATGAACCAGATAATGCCCATGTCCTTTTTCAACCGAACAGTTCATGCTCATTTAACTTGTTTGCCCTCCATCTCTCTTTAGCAGCAGATTAACTATTGATTAGATAAGCTTGCCCTGGCGCTGAATTCTGAAACAGCCCACATGTTTTTGGGAACACAGCTCTTTAGGCCAGGAAATAAAAGCAGGCATTTGGTCTTGCCTTTAACCACCTGCCTGCCTGCCTGCCCTTTACAGACCTGTCCAGCTGTGGCTTTTTTTCAGCGTTTTGGTATATATATATATAAAAACATCTAGAATGGGCAGAGCTGAAATGCATCCACCACCATTCCTCGTACTGGTAGGTCAAAAGGCCTACCAACATAAACGTGACAGCAGTGTTGCTGTTCTTGCTATGAAGACGTAAAAGGACTTAACTTTGGCAGAAGACTTAAACTGCTGGTCCTGATGCATTTTTCATGGAAGTGACTATAATAAAGTCCAGGTAAGTCAGTGGATTTTCACAGATTTATGCCATTGAGGCCCTGTTGTTATTTTACACCGTTTTTAATCCATCTGTAGGAGAAGTTACATACAGCAGTGTAATGGGGAACCGGCACCACTAACAGGGGCCAACCAGTCTAGCACAGCGGTCATGCCAGCAGTACAGCTGCAGGTAAATGCACATTTCATTATATGGTCTGCAGTACTGTATGAACAAGGTTATACACTCCATAATTCACCACTAGATCACTATATGAGGCTCAGACAAAGGAGAAGTCAAACAGTTTGAACAAAAGGCTAATGCAGAAGTGGAATGGAAATGGATCCTGAAGCTGAAGATGGGCAGGGCCTCTGGAAAAGCCAGTAGAAAAAATGTTTGAAGTTTGCTGTTGTGGGACGAAACTGTGTCCTGAGAAGTGGGGAAATGGCTCTGGCATTTTCAAGCCCTTCTTAAGTGATGAATACCAGCCACCCGACCTTAGAAGGAGATAAGCAGGTGCTTATCAGCTGGTGGTGAACAACTATCAGTCTATCGAATCTATGGGGCTAAGAACTCTTAAGGACTAGCCCTTCCAGCTGCCTCTACCAGCTATGCCTCGAGCATCTGGAGAGAACACCTAAATCTGGAATTATGTTTGGCATACCACTCAATGTCAGTAATCCATGGTTTGGCCAAAGTAACTACAGGTAATAAACGTGCAGAAATTGACATATCTGAGAACTACTTCTAAGCAGAAGTGTCTAATTCCAAAACCATTTATCTGAATGAATGTGAGCTGATGATTTAGGCTGTCTGGCTATATGGTTCCATTATATTTATTTTCTGCCAAGCATGCTGTTCTGGGAAAAATAATATTCACAAGAGCACAATTTTAGAGTCCCCAAATTAGTTAATTTTTAATATTTTTTTCTTTTGCTAGAATTTTCACATTGATTGAGTCTGTAAATCGAGAGAAAAATCATATTCTGTGATACTTTAGTCCCAGAAAAAAATGCAGTAAAAATAAAAACCGCCAGGGTATTTTTCATTCTTTTGACATTATTTGACAGCAGGAAAGAGAGAACATGACTGACTCTGAACTTTGATTACACTGGAGTTTATCACATTGTTCAAAAAGGCATCGAACAGTTTTAACTCAAGGCAGACCATAATATAGCACAAGCTGGTCTCTCTCTCAGCCACACTTGAACAGCAAACTCAGCCCCTGCTCATTAAAATAATTCTACTCAGAAGTGGATTCTGCCATTGGCACAAGCAGCAACAGCTGTGAAGCTGTAATCTGCTCCTTCTGGGCTAAGATAACGTCTCCTCTGCACAAATACCCATCCTGTCAGGGAGGGGATGGCTGAGCCCTCGGCAGAGCATTCAAACTGAAACACGTACTGAAGAAGTTTGTCTTTCTCAGACGGACAAACTATGCAGATCACCCAAAGGGGCATTTTTTTCTTAAATCTTAAAATTGAAAGTCAGTTTTTTGCCTTGCCAAATGTCTTAGCCTAGCTTGTGCTCAACCACTCCATGGCTGAGGGGTGATGAGACCAGTCTTGGTTTTGTCCTCTTCTGCAGTGTCTGAAAAGATCTCTGTGTGCTTCCTTTACTGCTAACTGCAGCGGAGAGTGGAAAAAGAGAATCCTGCGGCCAGCAGAACTGGCCAAGTGCTCTTTGCACAGCTGTGGGGGAAGTCCTTTCCCCCAGTACAGCAGGAAGCTCCAAAGGATTGCTCTCAGCACTTGGGTATTCCAGTCCCCTCTGTACGTTCACATGTACTGACTAATTTTTCCAGGATCCACTGTTCTTAGCAAGAAACAGCTAACTTCATGCGCTCTTTCAACTTCTAAGGTCATGTCTTGCAAAGTCTTATTTTTAACAAGAAGAGCATGGCCAAGTGACCCAGCAGATCTACCAGGCCTCAGCAAACCCCCTGTGCAACAAAGCGGCTGGCTCGGATGTCTCCCCAGGGTGCGCCAGCAAGGGCTACAGAGCATCACTTGCAGTGAAGCATGAACCAGACCGTGACATTATGTGATTCAGAAAAAGCTTTACTTATCCCCAGACCCCATCCACCCTACCATTCCTTACTCATCTTTGTGTCACGAAGGTCCCTCCAGCCATTCCTCCCGGCCTCTTTGGGAGCTGAGTGGGAGGGGACACCTCTTCGAGGTCCAGGAGACAACACGATGTCACCCCTCCTTATCATGCTTTCCTGTCTAAAACATTCGGGTGGCTCTGGGCCACTCCCACATTGACATGTGTTGGGAAATGGTAGTGGCAGCTTGCACTGAGTCCCGGGAGAAAGTGAGGTGGTGAAAGGAAGGAATGACCATCCCATCTCCTCACAGGCAGCTGCTGCCACCCAGGAGAGGACAGGATGGCCAAGGACCCTGTAGAGGGCAAACAAGTTGGTGAGATGGACTCGCTGATCCCAGGTGTCTGCCTGAGGCCTGGCTGAGCCTGAGATTTGCTGGCTAAGGTGAGGCCAACACGGGAGGGAGTCTGTGGGTTCTCCAACCCCGAGCAGAGGCTGCGGGGATGCTGGGCAGTCAGGAAGGACTGGAGACCTAAAAGCACCATGCCAAGGGGAAAAAAGTGCGGGAGGATGACGGACGTGAAGTAGCCTCACGTCCCACAAACTCCAACCCGACGTCAGGGCATCGGGACAAACAACTCCCAGCGCCGAGCACCGCCCCAGCTCCTCCTGGCCGGCCGATGGGACTCACCTTGTGCTGCTTCCACATGGCGCCCAGGGCCTTCACCTCGTGCTTGCCGTGCTTGCCCTCCTCCAGGCACTGGTAGCAG